GGGGACGGCGCAAAACGAGAAGCCTTTCGGACCCAAGTACTGAAGGAATGAGGTAGTTGCGGTCTACAATGACAGAGAAGAGACTGTCAGTTTGGCTGTACTCAGCATTGAATCAAAACGCACTACAGCTGTTGATCTTAATAAGTTTGTGAGGCGTTTTGCTGAACAAAATAGTAATCGCCGCATTCAGCTGTAATAGACATGCCAACTTGATGCTCTGCTCACGGATGACTCGAAAACTGTTAAGATGATGACCTTGTATGCGTGTATATATTTTTTTCTTTGAGGGGGTCTGCCCCCAAAAAACTGTTTTGAGTCCTGAGAAAGTAAAATAAGACGGTGTGTAAAACTACACTGCCCAGCCAACAGAAAGTAACCACTTTGATTTAACTAGGCCAGTAGGTAAGGACCTTCCACTGGATAATAACTGCAGCGATGTTTTAGCTGAATACACGTTTTTTAACCCTAACTGATGCAGTTAGTCACTTCTTTAATGTTTGTTCTTTCTGATGTAAAGTCAAGGTTGTAACTGTATATCAATAATGATATAATTACTTGTTTTTCAAATTTGAAGGAGGGTGAGCAAGCATCTTGATGAACATTCATCATTAACTCCTCCAAAAAATATAGTTTATTCAATAATAAATGAATATGTGAATCATAATAGTTCTTCACTATATCTGTAAAGCGCCTTTGAGCACCTGTAAAAACGCTAACAAATTAAATCTATTATTATTATTATTTATTAACAGTGATTGACAGCTGATATAATATGATTGTTAATAGTATCATATTCATTCAGACAAACATCGATGAGACAGTTAATTAATGTACTTATTGCAGCAGTCTGCATAGATTTGGTACCCCTGCTGGTCTAAGAGTGAGACAAACTCATTCAGTTATTGTTCAGTTAAAATTTATTAAATTACGTCTGCCACCTTATATGTAAGGCTTTACTGATGTGCCACAATAATATCACCTATGTGATTGAGTTAAAATATTAATATTGTGGCTTTCCAAGTTAACATTGATTGTAGGGGTGTAACGGTTCACAAACATTTCGGTTCGGTACGTACCTCGTTTTTAGGTCACGGTTCGGTTCGGTACGTTTTCGGTACAGCAGAAAAAAATATCACAAAACATTAAATATTTTTTTTTAATTATTATTAAACTGTGACTAATGTATTCAAATAAATACAAAATATAGTAAAATAAACATTAAGGTGCAGCATTTCGATGAACTGAAATAATCTGTATTTGAACTGTACTAGTACCTAAGCAGCCAGCTTGACATTAGGACTTGCTTGTCATTGTATTTTCATGTTTTTTTAAAGAAAGATGAACTTGTCCACATTGCTTGCTGAAAGGGCAGATCTGCTGGCACTAACAATGTCTCCTGCTGTGGAGAAAACCCTCTCTCTAGGGACAGTGGCAGCAGATACAGCCAGGTAGCGCTTTGCTAACATGGCAACATAAGGATATTTGGCGTTTGTAATAGCTTTGGCTCGGTCTGAACTCTCTGCGAGTGGTGGAGGCTTACATGCTAGTGGGAGTTGGGTTTGCACTTCAGTCTTTTTTCTTTTGGTACCGGCGATATTCACGTTCGGGTGATGCCTTTTCAAATGAGTGTGCAAGTTTGATGTATTGCCAGCCGCGTAACCTATTTTAGTTGAACAATACCGACAAACAGCTTTGGTTCAGTCCACCTGTCTTTGTCCTTCATCCTTGCACGTAACTGCGAAATCAAAATGTTCCCAAACCGGAGACTTCAATGATGCTGGAGGATTTTCAGCTCAACTTTATCTGCGTTCGCCATTTAGACAGTTCCTCAAATTACTGACTACATTTGAACGCATCCCTGTGACCAGCTCTCATAGTATGCCTCTCGTCCAATGAAATTACTTGGTCGCTCTATGATATAGATTACTTCCAGAAAGTTGTTCATGTTCTCAATTTTTTACGTTTAACGCTATATTCGTTCGGTACACATGTGTACCGAACCGAAGGGCCCGTACCGAATAATTTCAGTACGGGTACGTGTACCGTTACACCCCTAATTGATTGATATGATTGCGATTTAAATCAGCATATACTTCTGTCAGGGGATGCCACCCCTCAAAATCTCCTGCCACCCTCTTGCCACCACCCCATGAATATTTGTCTAGATCCGCCCCTGGGTGGGGCTAAGCCATTTCTTGGTTTGGGTGTAGCCTACCCCAGCCACCCTGGCGCTGCCGCTGGTGGCACGTATGGGGCGGGCCATTCTGCACATGCGTTAAGTGCGTTAAATATTTGAACGCAATTAATTCAAAAAATGAATTACCACCGTTAACGCGATAATTTTGACAGCACTAAACAAAACATAAACAGTTGCTGACATCCTACAGTTGTTTACCTGTAGGATGTCAGGCATCAGATATACATTACACAACAACTGTTTGTTTTTATAAAATGCAAAATACATCCCTTCTTTACCTGCCTGATCCAACACTTAAAGGATACAGTGAAAACCTTGTTTATACCTAGTGTACACTATTATACTATTCAGTGTTACTGAAGCATAACACATCTGATGGTGGAATTTGAACTGTTGTGGTGTTAGTGTCTTAGAAACTAAACTAGTGTGTCCAAAACAATAAAGCTGCTACTACTTATTTGTTTCTATCCTAACTAAGTTTGCTGCCAAAATATAATGTATCTGGTCCTTATTGCTTTTTATAATGATGTTTGGTCATCCATTGTGCTATGACGGTCTGAGGCAGTTATCTTGCAAACTGCCAAGAGTGTTTTTATTTTGTATTAAGGTTGATTTGCTTTTTAAAAAACTAATGTCACAACAGGACTTAGAAAAGCTTGTCCATGCTTTTATCTTCAGTAGACTGGACTACTGCAGTAGTGGCTTCACAGGGCTGACAACACAATCCATCAGATAGCTGCAGCTGATTCAGAGCGCTGCTGCACGTGTCCTCACTAACACTAAAAGAGTGGATCACATCAGTCCGGTTCTGAAATCTCTACATTGGCTTCCAGTCGGCCAAATAATTGATTTTAAAGTACTATTGCTAGTTTTTAAATCATTACATGGTTTAGGACCAAAGTATATTGTTGAACTCCTACATAATTACGAGCCATCAAGGTGCCTCAGGTCTTCTGGGACGGGTCTGCTATCGGTTCCGAGAGGAACAACAAAACATGGAGAGGCAGCGTTTAGCTGTTATGCCCGACACTCTGGAACAAACTACCCAACATGCACGTCCGCAGAAACGCTTACTATTTTTAAATCCAGATTAAAAACATATCTCTTTGAGATGATCATATTGGAACTACAGTATGCTTTTTAAACATGTATTATACAATACAATACAATATAAATTATTCGATTATCTTTGCTTTGTAATGCCTGTTGTAAAATGCCATTATATAATGTGTTTTTATTCCTAAAAAGTATTTTCATTTGTTTTGTAAAGGACTTTGAATTGTCGCGTACAGAAAACTGCTACATAAATAAACTTGCCTTGCTTTGAATCCTGAAAGTCAGTTACAGGATTTGTTTTTTAAAAAGACAAAACAATTAATATTAAAAATGGACACCTGAAAAAAGCGGCCGAGATGGGTTTTCTCCGCAGGGTGGCTGGTGTCTCCCTTAGGGATAAGGTGAGAAGTTTGGTCATCAGGGAGGGACTCGGAGTTGAGCCGCTCCTCCTTCGCATCGAAAGGAGCCAGTTGAGGTGGTTCGGGCACCTAGTTAGGATGCCACCTGGGCGCCTCCCTAGGGAGGTGTTCCAGGCACGTCCAGCTGGGAAGAGACCAAGGGGTAGACCTAGGACCAGGTGGAGGGATTATATATCTTCGCTGGCCTGGGAGCGCCTTGGGATCCCCCAGTCAGAGCTGGTTGATGTCGCCAGGGAAAAGAAAGTTTGGGGCTCTCTGCTGGAACTGCTACCCCCGCGACCCGACCACGGATAAGCGGGAGAAGATGGATGGATGGATGGATGGACACCTGAAAAAACTGTGTAAAACAGCACTGAGCTAGTAAATGATGTTTCAACAACTATATACGTTGGGTTGGCTTTTTAAGTGTTGAGACTGTTTGCTATGGGGCACATTGTTGCATTAAGCCTTAAGATTGTCTGGCAAACGTTTCTCTGGACGGCACGAACTGAGCTGAAGTGTTTCACCTTTGAGAGTAGAGAGAGAAAAGCGAACAGGAAAATAAAGATAACTTTTAGTTTAGGGGAGCTGCTGATGTTTTCAACAGAATATGAATGTGTGGCTTTCAAATACAAATGTGATTTATTTCGGTTGTTGTTCAGTTTTGATAGGAATCATACTTTCAAGTCAATTGATGGGTTCAGTTCTTATCTTGTATTTATTTCATTTTGCCTCATAAAACTTCTAAACTGATGTAATTTAATTGAGCTAAAACAAGGCTGTGCTGTTTGTCATGGATTTCAAAAAGCTTAATAAGAATTATATATATATATATATATATTTCTCTTCAAAATATAATTGATGTGCTTGCAAAATATATTTTTCTGTGCTCAAAAATGTTCAATTGCGCGCTCAGGATAGAGGCACAAACATAACTCCATAGTTCTGGTGGCTGTCTCCGCCCATGAACAACTGTCAGCACTGACTCCTCCATCAGTAACAGACAGTACTAGATCTCATCCTAATTTGTAAAATCTAAAGTATTTCTATCTTTTCTGAATGTTAGGGATACTTTGTCTCAAAGTATTGTTTAGGTTCCTGCTTTGTTGTTGGCCTGTTGGTTTCAGATGCCTCAATTCTAGCTTCATCACGGGGGGTTCAGATCCAGTTAGATCTCGGGTGTCCAAACGTTTTACACTGATGGCCACATACAGAAAAACACATGATGGGCTGGGCCCCTCACTAGAGGTGAGGTATATCGCCTCATAAGTGAAGTTAGCAAAATCAATCAAACGTAGGTCAATTATTCTTGATACTTGAATATGCTATAAGAAAACAAACAGCCTATCACAGCTCTCCAGAGGGTTTCATTTATTTTGTTACAAAAAGCTCATCCCTTAAAGCAGAAGCCTCAGACTGCTTATAATAAGTGGAAATAGGAGGGTATATTTCAAGCTTGTTATGCAAATAGGTTATTGGGCTTTTGGGGGATTTGTTAGAACATGTTTTCAACTTTAACTGAATTGATTTGAAAAGTTTGCTTATAAACACATGAATACTACTGTGTAATTATGTCTTTACACTTATATTTAAGAAGTGCAATATAAGCCAAGCACACGTCTCAGGTGTGGGCCATATTCCATTATACTTTAAGAATTAGCTGAGGACCATTTCAAAATGGACAACGGGCCGCAGTTTGGAACTCCCTGAGTTAGATGGTCAGACAAGAACTGCATTTGAAGCATATACCGAAGCTTAAGCATTAATGTGAAATCAACCTAGCATTACTCACTGTCCTATGAGGGACTTTAACTCATGGAGAACTGAAGTGGCAAAGATCAATCACAGCACTTAACACGTTCAACACGAGCTCTGCATGTCATTAAACATACCTCTTGTAAAGTACAGTTTCTAGTTATATCAAGACAGTGATGTTTCTATTTAACTCCTATTATCAGGGTTAATGGCTGACACTGTAGATGTGTATTTCTCCCCCGAAATCTTCATAAACTTTATTTCCGCATGCAGTCTGGTTATGAAACATTACTTACACACTGTACAAAGCGGTTTGTATATAACATATTTACAACATCATATAGCACACTAATACAATGTTTGTGAGTTTCATAACAGTTGGAGTTGTACAGATTTTAGTAAATAGTTTTTTACACAGTAAATATAATGCAGTCCAAATATGTCACACTGTAGATAATGTTAGCCCCATCCTATCGTCATGAGAACATCACCTATATTTGTCATGTACACTGCAATATACAATTAATTTGTTTAACATTGACACTCTCATTCTCCCTTACATTCTGCAGCATCATCTCTAACACCAGAGTCCGTTCCATTCTTTCTTCTTCATGACCTTCTTTCTCTTCTTCACATCTTCCTATACAGGCTTCCATCCTCTCTGTGTACCTTCACGGTGTCCTCCTCTTCCGCGGACCGCATGTGATACCAACCGGACCTGATTTGAGAGAGATGAGAGTTCAGAAAAGGTTTCCCACATAGCAGTTATAAAACCACTGAAGCTACATCGATCAAACACATTTTGAGTGGAGGGGGTTCAGTTACCAGACAATAACCACATCTTTGACACATTGGGGGAGGATGAAACCCTCTTTAATGGTCCCACATGCAGAGCACACAGCGCACACAGCGAAATGTATTCTCTGCATTTAACCCATCCTAGTACCAGGAGTCTCGTACCAGGAGCAGTGGGCAGCTATTGTACAGCGCCCGGGGAGCAATGGGAGTGGGGGGATGTCCGGTGCCTTGCTCAAGAGCATCACGGCAGGGCAGGAGGTGAACTGGGACCTCTCCAAGTACCAGTCCACACTCCATATTTAGGTCTGATCGGGGACTTGAGTCCAAGCCCCTACTGACTGAGCCACTGCCGGGCATGTCCACCATGCAGGATAAAAAAGGTAGTCCCTCTCCAGAAACGTTGACCAGCTCTTTCTGGGGGATCCTCCGGGGCACCATCGCCAGAAAAGATATAGGCCCATTTCCAGACAGCCACCTACACCCTAACGGTACAGACTTCTGCTCCATATGCACGTTGGAGTGGAGGGTCCGCCACATTAAGTGCCGTTCCAAGCCAATAAGTGAAGAGGGGGAATGGGTTATCAAGCCCTCCAACAGAGAGTCTGCATCACCTGACTTAATCTGTCAGGAAACACGCTGTGTACAAGTAGCTCCAACATTCACTGATAAACTGCACAACAAGATAAACATGAAATATCGACATACAGATGTGAACAACTTCATGTTAACTCGTATTTGATTGACTTGATCATGTACCCGTTTTAATCTCGAAAACGGTAACTACACTTGATTATAAAGTTATTTATATTTACACGGACTGTTGCAAAAAATGTGCAACTTATAAACATCAGATCTAAAAACAAAAATAGGTTATAAAAACGATTTATTTTTTAATTATTCTTTACATTTTTGTGCAAAACATGCTGATTTGGAACTGTTGTTACGGAAAGTTTAGGCATTTCTTGTTTCTTATCTAAACTCCTCCTCTAGAGGTTGGTCAGATTCAGGACTTCCTCAATTGTTATTCCCAACACTTGTCAATATCCACGGTCCTTTCTGCTTTCCCATCCTGAGACATGTCACAGTTTGCTAGATCTTCCTTGAGGCCAACCTGAAATCATTTTCTCAGTACTCATCAATAATCTAGCCGTATACACTGTGATGTGCAGGTACTGGTGAAATGAAACTACATGAAAGTCAGATATTGTAATAACACAAAAGTCTCTGTTTTTCTTGTCTTAAACAAACGTGTGTGCAGACTCAAACCAAAGCCTGATAGCACTTCTTCCTCTGTGCTTTAGAGCAGGGGTTCCCAAACGTTGCCATGCCAAGGACCCCATATAGCATTATCCTCTGGCGGGGACCCCCCTGTTGCAATTTTTTTTTAAATGATGTGTACAAGTGCCTCGCGATGGAGCATGCAGTGTGTTGCCACTACATTTGGGGCCTTCTGCCTGATCAAAGCTGTCACTCCGCTTTCTTTGCCTGTCATAGCCGCTGCCCCATCTGAACACACACCCACACAACGAGACCAGTCAAGTCCATTTGAGATGATGTACTCATCTAAAACTTGGAAAATGTCTCTTCATGTGGTCCTACCTTCCAGTGCTTTGCAAAATAATATTTCCTCAACAAAGTTGTCTTCTGAAATAAATCTGATGTATGCAAGCAATTCTGCGACATTTGCTACATCCGTGCTCTCATCCAGCTGCAGAGCGAAGTATTCACTTGCTCCAAAAGCTGAGCAGATACTCAGTTTCACTCTCAATAGCGGCAGCTCGATTCTGATTGGCTTGAAGGGCAGTCGTGTGATTTAAAAACAAAAAATATTAAAAGATTGGCATCAAAGGACACATAGATTGATAGATATACAGTTATTAATAACATCTTAAAAAATTTTTTTTAAATTAAACTTTTTAAAAAAAATCCCTTTTCCCTCAAACTTTGCGTGACCCCCTGGCGGCCCCCCGGGGGGTCGGGACCCCACTTTAAAAAACATTGCTTTAGAGAATCATTACAGAAGAAGTCCACACTACCTGGATGTTTATTGTAGCCAAGGGAAATCCAATTGGCTGTGGTGAACCAGGGCAATCATGGAGTTTCTGTTTCTGCCAGCAGGTTCCACTGGGTCCAGGTCCGGCCTGTAATGATGAAGATACAGATGTTAGTGTGAGCTTCTGGTTCATGTAGCTCTAGTGGAAACATCTCAGCCTGGGAGTATCAAAAACATCCATTGTCCATTATTCCCACAGTCAGAGCGCAGCAGTGTGCAGGCGAGCATGTCTAAGCAGGACCAGGGTTTCTAATGAATGCTGGACTCTGGCCATATCTCACCGGGCCTCAACTTAAATCCAGGGTGTAATTCTCCCACTCCTCCAGGCATACCTTAGGCCTGATTTTCCTCCCCCCCTCTCTGTCCATCTGGGTGCGTGCCAAGCCCCGGTCAGGACAGTGGGAGAGGCTGAAGACCAACAGCCCCCAACCTGCCTTCAGATTCCAGCACTGTAAAACCTCTTAAATAAAGACAAGCCACAGTTCATCCACAGTAAGACCCCCTCTCCTCCACCAGGCAAAATGAGAGTAATACTGTAGTTCCTTTCATCCCTTACAGGTCACACGCAAAAAAAAAAGTGGCTTTCTTTAAACTTGTGTTTACAATTGTTTACACTGCAGTCAAATCACTTGCATTCCTTCTGTTTTTCCAGATGTGGTTCAACAACCAGGAGAAACAAACACAGCTCTCACAGTGGCCAAAAGAACACAAAACATAGAACACTAAAGTTGGGGCTTTGTCAGGAAGTTTGAAAACAGATTGAGATGGTTTGAACTGAAAACAAGATACAATGATGAATTTCATGATGTCTTTTAACACAAAACATGTTCCAGACCTTTTATATGATCAATAGCCTTCGTATTAATTATTCATGGAGTAGCAATAAAAACATTTGATTTATTGCTGGATCCATTATTGAAACTCCTCTTTCTTTCAGTATACAGTCATTTTAAATGAAGCTCGTGCTGTATATGTTCTGTGGCTAGCAGTGTAACATATATATTGCGAAAGTAATTTGATCCAGAATTAGTATAAACATCTCCATCAGTGAGCGGTCTGCTTGCTCAAGAATACTATTTCATAAAGTTGTTATTGAACAATTCAACAAGTAATGAGAGTGTAATTGTAGGCAAAGCTACTTCACACAACCTCTGCAGACCTGACACATTCATCTGAGGATCAGCAATGAAGGGGGTCTGGGGGAGATAACATTGTTTTAGGGTGTTTGCCAATCCCACAGACTGTTGTTGTCTTTGCACAGTACACTACACAGCGTTCTGTCATTTCCCATCCGCAAATGATTGAACTTAATTTGAAATGATTTATGACAGTGAGCCATTTTACCCTATTTCAGATTTTTTCAATTGCTAAAACACATTTTTTGACAACAGGGCTCATTTTGTCAAAACACTAAACACAATTCTCCAAACCACACACCCAAAGTGCAACACACCTCATATATCTTGCAAAATGAAGCACTGCACCCAGAACTATATAAACACTTACCAAAACCAAACTTTTGCACCAAATGGCACACACTTCACTTATAGTACAAGACACTTTGTCCAACCAACTACACTGTGGTGCTTTATCTAAAGCACACTCATCTGTTATGGTGATCTGTAGAGAATTCTGCATATACAGATTGTTCAAGTCTACAAAGATAATATGTGCAGAGACAAAAATATGCTGTCGTTATACTTAGATTTTTCTCCCAAAGAAATTGGTGCAACTTTCTTGCACAACACATAGTTACAGTTCTGTAAACACACATGATGCTTAATATACAGTAAAGTGAAAGGAAAACTTTGAGGAAAATAAATACGTAGGCAGCATTTGACCACCTCACTGGGTCTGACCACAGCGCCTCATCCACCTGCAGAAGAAGCATCACCTGCAGCCTGACGCTCAAACAGCTCCAACCGTTGTGCTGCAAATAACTCTTCAACTGACTTCAGTTCATCCTCCCTCTCTCTCATCCTCCCTCTCTCTCATCCTCCCTCTTCCTCTTGCTGTGTCCATATATCCATTGTTGTTTTTACAAATGTCTTACAGGACGCCTTTTTCAGTGCTTACATCCTGATTTCAGCCTGTCCTCCTACAAAAATACGACCAAATAGGTCGATTGTTTACAGTTTCTCGATTGCTAACACACTTTTGTTTTTTAAATTGCTGTTTCTCAGAACACTAAACACAATTCACAAAACCACACACCCAAAGTGCAAAACTCCTCATTTCTCCTGCTAAGTGAAGAACTGCACTCAAAACTACATACACACTTTCCAAATGCAAACTTTAGCACCAGATATAACACACTTCATTCTTAACACTAGATGGTTTGACCACCCAGCTACACACTGCTGAGCATACTCCAAAGCACGTTCACCTGTTCTGGCTGTGCTCTGTACAGAGAGGGTTCTGCAGAGAAAGATTGCTTGAGTTTACAGAAATACAGTAAATGAAGAAATACAAATGAGTTGTTGAAAAAAATCATATTTTATTCAAAAGTAATATTTTGCAACATGCATCTCAGCACATAGTTACAGTTGTTTCTGTATCGCAAAACAAAAATGATTCTTCTGTCAAATACAGTAGATAGAAAGAAAACTCAGAGTAAAAAAATATACAGAAAATATTTTTGAGCAAAAAACAAAAGAAAGGAAAAAATGCTTAGGCTGCATCTCACCGTCTAGCAGCGTCTGGCCACAGCACCTCATCCACATCACAGGCGATGTTTTCCCTGGCTAAGCAGCGCGGGAAGAAGCGTCTTGAGTCACGTATCCAGCCCTGGATAGCATTCACATTCACGTCATCACATGCCTCCTCCATTGCCTGCAGAAGAGGCATGCGCTCATAGGGCCGACGGTCATACACCTTCCACCGCCATGCCAAGAAGAACTCTTCAATTGGATTGAGAAATGGAGAGTAGGGTGGAAGATATTGTAGGCGGAATTGTTGGTGCTCAACAAACCAGTTTTGGACTAAGACAGCACGATGGAAGTTGACATTGTCCCATGCCACAACATATCTAGGCTGCTCTGCATGATGAACATGGTCAGCCTTGGTCAAAATGTGGTGCAGTCTGTCCAGAAATGTGAGAATGTGGGCTGTGGTATATGGACCAAGGTGGGCATGGCGGTGGAGGACACCATTTTGTGTGATCGCAGCACACATTGTGATGTTGCCACCACGTTGGCCAGGGACATCTATGATGGCTCTGTGACCAATAATGTTCCTACCCCTTCTCCTGGTCTTTGTGAGGTTGAAGCCAGCCTCGTCAATACAAATTAATTCATGCCTGATGACATCAGCATCCATCTCCAGTAAAAATGACAGTAAAATCAATCAAAGTGGTTTAGACAAGTACAACAAAAATGCTGTGCTATGTGTGGATTACTGAATCAATGGTCTAGTCAATGTTGTACTTACATCTGCATATTGATGTCTCAGATCTTTCACCCTTTCAGCATTTCTCTCAAAGGGCACCCTGTACAGCTGCTTCATCTGAACCTGGTTACGCTGGAGAACACGGGACAATGTGGACAGGCTGACTTGCCTGATGTGGTTGAAAATGGTGTTGTTCCTTATGATGTGGCTTCGGATCTCTAACCCCCTGATCCCAACGGAAGCGTCTGCGCTGAGGCTGCGCCGCGCTGCGACCTCCTCCTGCGTCATAACCCACCAGGCGCGTTTCAAAACGTTGCGTAAGCGGATCGTCGTGTGTGCAGCCTCGCAGTTGTTGGATGAACGTTCCACTTCCTGCCTGCGCCGCGCTGCGCCGAGTCAAAAATAGGATTCATCCTATATTTTAGAAATTCCTTGCGGCAAGGAGCTTCTGGGACGCTTCGAGCCGCGGCGCAGCGCGGCGCAGCGGGTCTGGTGGAATAGCACCCATTGACTAGAGTGGCCGCGATCGCTAAAAACGCCGCAGCCGGAGCGCAACGCAGCGCAACGCAGCGCAGCGCAGCGCAACGCAGCGCTGCGCAGACGCTCCTGGTGGGATTAGGGGGTTAGTGTGATGGCATTGTTTGCCAAAACTAAGTTTGCAACTGCTGCTTCCAGTGCCTCAATAATAATCCTTAGCCCTCCACCGGCACCTCTTTGTTTCTCAGTCCTTCAGATAAACAACAAAGACATAGTGTTGGTCAGTGTCTGTGTTGCATAAAAGTAACTTTACCACAGTACATTGTGCAGGATTTCTGTACAGTTATAGTCTGCAACATGCCAACAATTCAATTACAGTAATGAGTAAATACGTTTCACACACCAGATATAAGCTCTGATATATCATGAGTTATGCAGAGCTACAAACTGGTAACTAACCTGTTTTCAAGTCTAAGATGTCCGGATATACTGAGGCAACAGTACATCGGTTTTAGATTATGCTGAACCCTGTGGTCCAGCCTCTCATCGTCAACACATGGTTGATGGTCAACCAAAGTGGGCCCGGATTTCATTAGAGAGTATTCTTATTTGTCCACGTCCTCTCCCCCAGCTTCTACCTCTACCATCTCATTCCTCCCTCCTCTCACTCTCACCCCACCCCAACCGTCTTCCTCTTCTTCTCTTCTTCCTCCTCCTCCTCCTCCTCCTCCTCCTACCCTCCTCCATCCTCCTCCTCCATCCTGCTCCTCCCTCCTGCTCCTCCTTCCTGCTCCTCCCTCCTCCATCTCACTCTCAGCCCAGCTTGCTCTTGCTTCCATGTTTGCTTCCATTGTTGCTGTAAGAAAGTTCTCACCTGTGGTCTTTTATAGTGCTAACATCCTGATTGATGAGCCAACAATGATGCTATCAGGTGTTTGGTCAGGTGGAACGTGTTTCTTGATCATTGGTCCATGTGTGAGGCATTTTGAATATCAGTGTTTTAAACCTGCTAACACGTGACTTAATGTCAGACTCCTGTGTCTTATGTGGAGAAATGTGTGCATTGGTTTGCAAAAAGTGCCGTGTTGATTTGCAAATTGTGTGAAAAGCTGAAAACGTGTTTAGAGTTTTGGAGATTTGAGCCGATGTTTTGCTCTTTGAGTGTCAGTTAAAAGAATTGTGCTTTATGTAGCATTTTAGTGTGTTAGCAACCGAGAAAAACTG